TGCGGATGGGATTTGCTGCTTCTGGCTTGAAAAGCGACTTACACCGGGAGTCCTTTTTAAAACAACAAGCAGCGGCAAGTTTTTGCGAAACCGTTTGGGTTTTTAGGGACAGCTGACCACCACAACCCTCGCACACCCAAAGCTGCCTAGAGCCTAAAAGCTTCAAAACATGCGTAACATGAACCCCCTCAATCGCAACCCTCCCTTGATGCACACATTGGTGTGCTGCCAGCGCCTCTAAGGTCTTGCGGTTTTTCGTGTGCAAAAGTTTTAGCTGGCACTGGGCACACCGGAGGTTGAGACCTTCCCACTCCCAGGCATGTATGGATTTGGTCCGGACCAATTCCGGAACCATTCCTGCTGGGTGGTGGTGTGGCCACGGCCTATGTTGGATCCAACCCGCTTTTTACAGGGCCTTGCATTGGCCTCGGGGTTTTTGCGGGCCTGCTTGTCCTGCAGGAAGACCAACCCAGGTTCAACCTGGGTTCAACCCGGGTTCAGAACCCGGGTCAGAATCCAGGTTCAACCTGGGTTCAACCTGGGTTGAATCCGGGCTCAACCCAGGTTCAACCCAGGTTCGACCTTTAAGCCCCCCTTTAAACCCCCGATAAGCCTCCCCCTTAAGACCCCCCTCACTTCTCTAATTTCGAATAATGAAATCTAAAAAACAAATAGAAAAATAAAACAAGATTTGAAGGGGGCGGAATTTAGACTAAATTTCCTTCTCTCTCTTCTTGAAGAGAAGGTAATGTTTAAAGTCTCACTTCTCTGGCTTCGAATAATGAAATCCAAAAAATAAAACAAGATTCGAGGGGGGTGGAATTTAGAGTAAATCCCTTCTCTCATCTTCTTTCAGCCCCCCCCCCTTAAGACCCCCTTTAAGCCCTCTTCAAGGCCCCCTTCAAGCCTCCCTTTACGCCCCCTTTAAGCCCCTTCAAGCCTCCCTTTAAGCCCCCCCTGAAACCCCCCCTTAAGCCCCCCTTAAGCCCCCCCTTAAGCCCCCCTTAAGCCCCCCCTTAAGCTCCCCCTTTAAGCCCCATTTAAGCCCCCTTTCCCCGCCGTCCCACCCCCAACCCCCCCGCTCTTTACTTCTTAAAACAAAAACAATCTCGTCTCTACTCCTCTGAGTTTTGAACAATGAAATACAAAAACAAAACAAGATTTGAGGGGGGTGAAATTTAGACTAAAGTCCTTTCTCTCTTCTCCCCTCTTTCCAAGTCACAACAGGCAAAATGGGGGGGGCTGCGCCCCCCCCAACCCCCCCGCTCTTTACTTTTAGAAACAACAACTGTCGTCTCCTTTCAAGATTGAACAACCCAGGTTCAAGCCAGGTTCAACCCAAGTTCAACCCAGGTTGAAGGGGGCGGAATTTAGACTACATTTCCTTCTCTCTCTTCTTGAAGAGAAGGTAATGTTTAAAGTCTCACTTCTCTGGCTTCGAATAATGAAATCCAAAAAATAAAACAAGAATAAATCCCTTCTCTCATCTTCTTTCAGCCCCCCCCCCCTTAAGACCCCCTTTAAGCCCTCTTCAAGGCCCCCTTCAAGCCTCCCTTTACGCCCCCTTTAAGCCCCTTCAAGCCCCCCTTTAAGCCCCCCCTGAAACCCCCCCTTAAGCCCCCCTTAAGCCCCGCCTTAAGCCCCCCTTAAGCCCCCCCTTAAGCTCCCCCTTTAAGCCCCATTTAAGCCCCCGGGGTGAAATTTAAACTAAAGTCCTTTCTCTCTTCTCCCCTCTTTCCAATTCACAACAGGCAAAATGGGGGGGGCTGCGCCCCCCCCAACCCCCCCGCTCTTTACTTTGAGAAACAACAACTGTCTCGTCTCTACTCCTCTGATTTTCGAATAAGGAAATACAAAAAACAAAAGAAGATTCGAGAAGTTCGAGGGGGGTAGAATTTAGAATAAATTCCCTTCTCTCTTCTCCTCTGAGTTTTCGAAGAATGAAATACGAAAAACAAAAGAATATTCGAGGGGGGTGGAATTTAGAATAAATTCTCTTCTTCTCTTTTTGCTTTAAGAAACAAAAAACAGTCTCGCCCCCTTTCAAGATTGAACAACCCAGGTTCAAGCCAGGTTCAACCTGAGTTCAACCCAGGTTCAACCTAGGTTTCGAATTGAACCCAGGTTCAACCTGAATTCAACCTGGGTTCAACTTGGGTTCAACCCGGGTTTAACCCGGGTTCAACCATGTTCAACCCAGGTTCAACCCAGGTTCAACGCGGGTTCAACCTAAGTTGAACTTGGATTCAACAAACCTGGGTTTAACCCAGGTTTAAACCCAGGTTCAGAGAACCCCAGAACAACTTACACCCTTCAATTAGTTCGAACCCAGGTTGAACCCAGGTTCGAACTCCATTTTCAAAGGAAAAGAGTTCGAACCTGGGTTGAACCCAGGTTCGAACCCCCCCCCCCCGGACCTTAGTGCCATTGGCAAGTATGATGTTATTAACGTCTGCGGGCGGGCAATTGTAAGCGCATGTTGCAGTCAATCATTTCTTGCAAGATCGCTTTTTTAATGGAAAATGGACTTCCCTCGCGTTGATTCTAACCCTTACATCGGACTCCACCGCAACATGGAAAATATGATTGGCATGCCAAACGCAATTGCACTGGGCAGCTTTGCTGCATAAAGGCAAAGTCTGGATTAAAGATGAACAAGGCACGTTTCTAAACAAAGTTGTAATGAAAAACAAAATTTATTAGCTTTGCGGATTCTGGCTGGACATGCACGACAATCCAGTGTTCTTCGACGCGCGCCGGTTCCACAAGGTCATGTTACATGGGGTCACATGTGCGGCATACACTTTCACTGCTTTTAAACGCTGCTTAGAAAATTGACATCCCCAGAGTTCCCGGTTTCCAGACTTGTCGAAAACTGAGCTCTGGGCTTGCGGGCCGGCCTTGGACTGCGATCCTTGCTGGAGGATAAGTTGGAGAAGGTGGAGTCCAGGCTGGAGTTGGCGTTGGCATTGTGTGGCTGATGGTGTTGCGTGGATTGCACATGTGTCAGTTCCCTGCAGTAAAGGAAGTGTGCTAATTAAGAGCAGTGGCTCTAAGGGCGTGTGAAAGGGGGCTCTAGAGTGGGAACCTACCCCCTCCAGCTCTGCACTGCCTTTGTATTGACCGGTGGTGCTTACGCTTGGGTGCGCTGAGAAGGCCCACCTGAAGACTGTGCAAAGTGAACGAGGGCGCTTTGGCCGGCGTGGCAGTCTAAGGGGCGTTAGTGCTGGTAAGATTCATGCCAGTGCGCAGTGCGGCAGCGCCTGGGCGTAGAACGTGGTCTCTTGAAGGGAAGTTGTTGCGGAAGCTCCAGTCTGGCAGAATTAGCAGGAGGAAGTCCGGCTCTGTAGACCAATTTCCAGAAGAGCTCCGTGGGCAACCAGCATCGGTGTGGGCATGCAAGGTAATTTGGGCACCACAAGGTTGCAACTGATCTTCCAGTAAGGCCCGTCCGTAAGACGGCAAATGCTGTTCTGTGCGTGATGTTTTGGTGAACCAGCAAATGCCTTTAAGGGTGTGGGCTGTCAGGCTAAGGCTGACAGGCGGATGCGCTGGAGGTCACCGAAGCGTAGGCAGGCATGGTATACCAAGAGAAAAGCACCGAGTGGCGCATGCCATGGGCGGAGAGCCTCTCGGCGGTCTTGAACCTAAAGGTTCCATCTGAATGCCTGGATGACTGCATGGGCCACCAAGGACAATAGTGACTGCATTTGGGCCGTTCTGGCGAGCTAGGACAGGGCTCGTAGCATGGATTTGGGCGAGATCCGGCAGACGTCCCCTATGAAGCATGATAAGAACATTTTGTAAGTGGTTGGTGAAGTCGGGAAGCCTTCCTCCTTTCCCGAAAAAGGCTGTCTGGTCTTTTGTCAATTGTGTCTTGAAGATGCTCCGCACAGCTGCATCAACTTTGGACACGTGCCTCAAGGCTATCAAGTGGAGCTTTCACACCCTAGGAGTGCGTGTGCGTCTTGAGGTTTTTCAGAGTGCACGTGTCAACGGGCTGGTAGCCAAAGCTTTGGCTAACAAGAGTCCGTGGGACCCAGCTCCTCCTCTGCAGGTGCACGAGGTGTTGCAACTTCACGATATTGCTCAGGACGAGGGCATCTCTCTTATTGATAGATGTGGCGCAGTGCACTTTTTGGCCATGCTTGATGTTCGTTTCGATGTATCCAACCTTTGATCATTGACAAGAATGGATCGGATTGGAGTCACGGTTTCATTGAATTAGGTATCCTCGTTTCGCTTAGAGCCAGCCTTTTGAAGTGCTGAGCGCGAGTCCTGCGAAAAAAACTAGAAGAGGGATGGCCCGAAAGCATCGATTTGCCGTGCGTTGACTCCATGCACTTGATTCTTTGTAATCGAACTGTATGCACTTGGAGAAATGTATGCCCTTACATGGTTGCATAGTCACTTGTACACTGCACTTGTATGCACTGGAACCGCATGGCATTCAAGTGTGTGGAGTTGAATGCCATGCACTTGTGGTCAACTCTGTAGACTTTTCATCGGCGTTGAAGACAACGCCGAGCTCCAGCGGCCGGTCGCGGCACGCACCTGCGCCGGTGCAAGGAAAGAAGCAGAAACCACACAAGCACAAAAACAGACAAAAGAGGTGGAGTCTAAGTGAGGGCCGTGCATGTTGGTCGCCATGGAATACCTGCGCGCAGAAAACAGCTTTACGTGCAAGTCGGTCGACAAAGGTGCCAATCGTCCCGGGCGGTCCTAGCTGCATTTTCACACACGCGTGCATCGCACCGTCATATTAAACAGAGGTGGCCGCGCCGTCGTACTTTCGCAAGACAGCGTCCGTTTGGGGAACCCACATGTGTATTTGTCTGACATGTGGCACCCGCGCTCCGAATTGACACGCTGCCTTGCAGAGGCTAACCTTTTCATCGCAAGCGCGCCGTCGACTTGAAATCATGTGCGCCAGCTTCCCACTCCGGGTCGCGTCGCGCTTCCCTCTCCATTCCGGATTGACGTTACTACTTACTACAAAGCTACTCAGCAACTTCGAACTGAAAGGACAGCTCAACTGGCTTGGTCCAGCCCAGCATGGACCTTGGCCGCCCTCCCACCGACACGGGCATCTTGAAAGCCTTGACGTCCAGGACCACCCAGCCGAAAAACCGCTTAGCACCCGAGGACCACCAATCGAATGGACTGTCGACCTCGATGAGCGTATCCTGCCTGTGAGAGTCGAAGTCCCGATCGTCCAAGAACTCGGTCGCCCCAGCAAAGGTGATGATGCCCAGGACCTGAGCCCGTGAAGGAGGAGGGCCAATCTCCGTGTCCACGATGGCACCCTTGGTGGACCCGGCGCCGACGGTCTCTATGAGGAAGAGCTGCTCGCCCTCCGAAAAGCACTGGTAGTGACCGAGGGCGTACTTCCTCACCTCCATCTTTTTGCGCCCAAGCATCAACAGCCGACTCCATGGGTACTGGACATTGAGGCCGCAAAGCGAGAGGCGCTGAGTCGACAAAAAAACTTCATTGGACACCGAAGCAGGCAAGTTAGGATCTTTCAGCCGTGCTGCGCGAGCGACCAACTCGGCCGCCGTGCCGCATTCTCGCATGGATTTCAAGTCTGCAAGAGCTTTCCTTCTGCTGTCACGCAGCGGACCTCTGATCGAAGTGTCCTTCTCCTCGCAGATGCGGATGTGCGCAAAATGCGCTCGCCAGCCATATCCATGCTTCTCCACGATCCCGCGCTGGCTAAGTTCCTGTGACTTTCTACCGAGACCCGCCATGCTGCAACTTCACACCTGCCTCGAGCCAAGGTAGAGATCACAACAAAACTCTGAGCGCAGGAGAAGATCCACAACACCGTCCCCAAGTTGTTTGCGAGGATTTCAAAGCTCCATGCGCTCGGGCCATCCCTCTAGAAGCACGCATGCGTGTAGAGCATCCGATGGAATGTGTGACGGCGCATATGTGTGCATGTTGAGGCGCAGGCAGGAGGCCAAGCAGCTTTGCATTTTATATCTTGGGCTGGTACACGCGAAAGACCCTTTCGCAAGACAGCGTTGAGGGGAGTAAGCAAGGGTTCAAACTAGCGAGAGTTCTGCAGGCGGTGCAAAGCCAAGAGAGCATAATCTCTGCATTTCCACGGTTGCAGAGCTGGCCGAGCCGACAAGATGCAGTCCACAGCTTCATCTGCGCTGCATTGGCCGTCCAGCACCAGCCAAGCGCAGAGGGCAGCAGGACTGCGATTAATGCCACCGAAGCAATGGAAGAGCACGTTGAACTCCTCGCTCGCCTGTTGGCACTGCTCGCGCAGAGTGCGCAAAGTCTGAGCCATGTCTGTCCAAGCCTGGGCGCACCGCTCTGCGCTCTCGAAGAACCAGGAAGCATCCCGGTTGCATTTGATTCTGGGGTCGTCCAATTCAACTTGGACGTGCCGCACACCAGAGCGGGAAAAGTGCTCGCGCCAGTCTTGGGGAGCCCCCCTGACTCGCAGCTCAGCTGGCCGGCACACGCTCACCACAACCGTCACAGAAGTGTTGGTGCTGACCTCGACGTGGAAGATGTCGGCAGCCGAGCGCACGCTGCCCAGCAAGCAGCTCTCACCAGGCTTCGCAGACCGCACCACCACGGCATCGAGAGGCCAGTCGGAGATGTCGCCCAGGTTGTAGGAAGCTCTCCAAACAGTATAGTCCATGTCTGACCAAGGTCCCTCATTGTATTTTGTGGAGATGTCGAGCTGCCTCTGTCGAATCCAGCACATCTCCGCGTCGGACATTGTCGGCCCAGAAGACGTCAGCGAGGACTCCATGCATATGCAGAAAGCAGCAAGGAGGTTTCACTGCAGACCGCTCGTCGGGCCAAAACTAGCTTTTCGAGCCAAAGCCAGCAGCGCAGCCAGGTCTGCGGGTTTAGGGTATCTTGTTCAGAAGAGTGAGGGGCTGAGGTTCTGGGGTTCGGGCAGAACAATGTCAGAATGACATTCCCACACAGACAGACACAAAACCACGTCATCGACTGGCCTAAAGCTCGGGATGTCTCCCATCCACGGTCAATGTCAAAGGCGAAGAGAAGTTGAGGTCAAGAAGAAGGCTACAGAAGAAGCACTGTTTCAGTCCTGCGCTCTAGTGAGAAACGAACTTGCCCAGTCCCGCGGGCTGCATCCCCACACCTCCGCAAGACGGCGTCCATGCGGTTCCGCAGCCGCGCATCTTCGCAACAGAGCGGCCACGCGGTTCCACGGTCGCGCTACATGTGTGCGGTGGCGTGAAACACACGTAGCCGCTCAGACCGCCGGGATACGTCAGCACCGCCCCTAGTCATCATGCCGATGAGCAGCCTCAGATGAAAGATGCGGGAGAGACCTCAAGGCAGACATTCGCACATCTTCCTCGTTGTACCAATCCACAATGCAACGTGCGCAATAGTGCGCCTGATGTCCATACTTCGTTCTCATGCACGGACGGTCGTGCATCTCGCAGGAGAAAGTACAACTGCCTCTTCGCGGCGGGCAAAGATTCCCCATTGCGGCAAGGAGCAAAAGGGCGCGGTCACCTAAGCAAACGTCGCAAAAAGGTGCTGCGGCGCCCACACGAATGCACGCATGTCACCATGCACTCAGACATCATGCCAACGTGTGAGTTGTGTCAAGTGAGTCCAAGGAGACATGCCATGTCATTCTCAGTCCAGGGAGACACGCAGTCTTTTTAGCAGGAGCTGCGAGAGTGTGCGCATGCCCACAGGCGCTGCAGGCGCTGACTGACCTGTCCAGGGCGAGCCTTCCGCCGTGTCCGGCGCCGGCGCACCTTCCGCAAGACAGCGTCGGGCGCGCGGCGCCGGGGTCAGGCTCCGGCAAATAAACATCCGCAAAACTGGACCCTAGAGTCTCGAGTGCTGTCTAGGGCGAGGCTTCCGCCGTGTCCAGCGCCGGCGCACCTTTCGCAAGACAGCGTCGTGTGCGCAGCACCGGGGACGGGCTCCGGCAAATAGACATCCGCAAAACTGGACCCTAGAGTCTCGAGTGAAACATGTCTATAGGGCGAGGCTTCCGCCGTGTCCAGCGCCGGCGCACCTTTCGCAAGACAGCGTCGCGCGCGCAGCAGCGGGGACGGGCTCAGGCAACGTCCCAGGCTGCGCACTTCACCTTCGTCGGCGTCTCCTCGATGAGACTGGTGGCCGGGCGCTTGTTGCTCTGCAGCGTCGGCTCCCCCGCGAGCAAGTCCCAGACCATGGCGCGCTCTGTCTCCAGGTTGCGAACTTGAGCCTCCGTCGCCCGGGACATCCACTCCACGTGCAAGACCACAGCGTCCGTGGCCTCGTTCCTGAGTACGCGTCCCACCAAAAACCGTGGTTGGTCGTCTGCCATGTTGAAGAGGTGACAGCTGGTGAAGTGACAAAAGGCCTCGATCGCGAATGGCTGGGCGCCGTCCATGTGTGGGTACGAAAAGACCTGCTGGTGCTTGGTGACCAAATGCTTCTCGCCGCCAGTGTCCACCTCGTCCATGGACGGCTCGTCCTTGGCGAAGGCCAGCAGCGTCACGCACTCCGCGAACACGGAACCGCGCGTGAAGAAGGTCCCGAGGTCCGAGCAGGACAAGTCTGAGAACAGACTCTGCACAGGCAGGACCGCGCCATCCCTCATTTCATTTACCAGGCGCGTCACCTTCTTGACCATGGGACGCGCGCGCTCATCGTAAGCTTCTCCGAAGGAAGGACGAGCTGCTAAGATCTGAAATTGCGTCGGAGCACTTGCGGATGCCTGCGAAGCTTGCGAGGACTGCAGCAAAGCGCCGCGGGGCTGCCCCAGCCGCTGTGAAGTACCCAAGCGAGCATCGAAGGGCCCCTTGAAGCAAAGCGCCTGCGGGCCCTTGTCCCGAAGCAACAACTGGGCCAGCGCCTGCTCGTCCGCGACCCGGGCCAGCACTGCGAGCTCCGCTCCTCCCACCAGGACATTGTCCAGCTGCCCCGTCCAATCCGCCACGTGCACGGTGGCCAGCACGCGAGCAGCCTCTGCGGGCTCCGTCTGGCAGCCACTGGTGTCAGCACGCTTGCACTTGCCGCTGACGTCATCAATCTTGGTCTGACAGTGTCTACACGGGGTGCAGACCGGATCTCCAAGCACGTTGACCAGCCAAATGCTGTGCATCGCCACTTCGACTTTTTCCTCTGCGAGCGAAGCTGTGATGCAAAATTAAGGAAGCAAACAAAAAATAAAATCACACCTTCAGGCTTCAGGCTTTAGGGTTTAGGGTTCAGGGTTCAGGGTTTTTTGGGTTCTGCGGTCCTGTGTAGCTCCTTGCTCCATTGCCGAGCCGAAGGCATTCATGGTTGCGGCACATGCGACAACACAAGGCCCCATGTCGGAAGTCAACCTGCCGCCGCCAGTCAAGGACGGGCACCACGGCTTGGAAATGCGGTCGCCCTGGTCTGTGCCGAGTTCGCGAAGCTTGTCTGCCCGCAAGCCAGGTGGGTCCACGTGCAGCGCAGAAAAGCCGTGCTTGTCATTGTCAAGGAAATGTTCAGCCGTTCCTTCCAGGGAGGAGTCTTCTCGCTTGATGAGGCCGCAATTGTCAAGTTGGATGACCTGACCTGGTTGCACATTCGTCAGCAGATCCACGTGCCGTCTGCCCCACACGTTCACCAGCATTTCCTTGCCGGACAAGTCTTTCAGCCAGAGATTCGCTTTGGGCTTGCTGGTTGGTGGCAAGTCCAACTGCGTGACCACGCCAACGATGTCGGCGCGCTCTCGACCCTGGCACTGTTGCTCCATCACCTGAAAGTCGGACCGCGCAATGGGGAAGACCTTCTGCATCTCCATCGCCTGGGGGTGACCTTGAGCCACCGGGTGCGCCTTGGCCTTGGACCCCTTCTCAGACAAGTCCAGGAAGTGACCAGCGAAATATCTGTGCTTCACCAGCTTCAGGTCGGCGGCAAAGAAAACGTCCTTCGTCCAAGGCGCGGCAGCTTTCTGAACGGACTCGAGGCTGCCGCGAATCTCTGCGTAGACGCCCCTGGCTTCCTTGTCCACGAAGCGCAGGACCATCTTGCACCAGGGTCCTCGCGCTCCTGACATTTCTTTCGTCTCAGAATAGACGTGGCGTAGCAGAACCTTCATGTGACTGCTGTTCTGAGCAGTCAAACGGTCCAGCGTGCCTTCCCAAGTCTTGGACTGCTGTGGCTGCATGGCTCACTGTCGTGGCAGAGTGCGTGGAGGTCGCTGCAGCGCCGCAAGGAGGGACACGCTCCTGGGAAATGCGCAAGAGCCCAGGCTGCAGCAGCAGTCGGAACACTACAGACAAGACAATGCATGGCGCTGCAGTTCTGAAGTGACGTCAAGGCTTTCTGACAACTGACAAAAGGCTGCGTGGCAGACCAAGAATGCAGGCAGCGAGCGCTTTCCGGAATTTTGCCGAGAAAGGTCTACAGAGTCAAGCAAAATTACAGCAGGTAGCCCAGACACGCGGGCTGCATCCCCACACTTTCGCAAGACGGCGTCCATGCGGTTCTGCAGCCGCGCTTTCGGGCCCTGCCTCCGCTGGGACGTCAAAAACTCAGCATTTCCTTGCCGGATAAGTCTTTCAGCCAGAGATTCGCCTTGGGCTTGCTGGTTGGTGGCAAGTCCAACTGCGTGACCACGCCAACGATGTCGGCGCGCTCTCGACCCTGGCACTGTTGCTCCATCACCTGAAAGTCGGACCGCGCAATGGGGAAGACCTTCTGCATCTCCATCGCCTGGGGGTGACCTTGAGCCACCGGGTGCGCCTTGGCCTTGGACCCCTTGTCAGACAAGTCCAGGAAGTGACCTCCTTCGTCCAAGGCGCGGCAGCTTTCTGAACGGACTCGAGGCTGCCGCGAATCTCTGCGTAGACGCCCCTGGCTTCCTTGTCCACGAAGCGCAGGACCATCTTGCACCAGGGTCCTCGCGCTCCTGACATTTCTTTCGTCTCAGAATAGACGCGGCGTAGCAGAACCTTCATGTGACTGCTGTTCTGAGCAGCCAAACGGTCCAGCGTGCCTTCCCAAGTCTTGGACTGCTGTGGCTGCATGGCTCACTGTCGTCAGAGTGCCTGGAGGACGTTGGTGCCGCAAGGAGGGATACGCTCCTGGGAAATGCCCAAAAGAGCCCAGGCTGCAGCAGCAGTCGGAACACTACAGACAAGACAATGCATGGTGCTGCAGCTCTGAAGTGACGTCAAGGCTTTCTGACAACTGACAAAAGGCTGCGTGGCAGACCAAGAATGCAGGCAGCGAGCCCTTTCGGAATTTTGCCGAGAAAGGTCTACGGAGTCAAGCAAAATGACAGCAGGGGGCCCAGACACGCGGGCTGCATCCCCACACTTTCGCAAGACGGCGTCCATGCGGTTCTGCAGCCGCGCTTTCGGGCCCTGCCTCCGCTGTGACGTCAAAACTCGCCCTGCCCCGCGGGCTGCGTCCCCACACTTTCGCAAGACGGCGTCCACGTGGTTCCGCAGCCGCGCTAGGCGTGCGTCTGCGCTTTGGTGAAACGCACGTAGGCGCTCAAGTAGCGCATGTGCAGGAACGTGATGCTCACTGCTTGGGCCGCCGCGGATTCCATTTCGGACGCGGACATCTGAAAGCCTCGCCACTGCAAGGCAATGCTCCAGTGCAAGTCCTTGTCCGCCGGAGAGATGTCCTCGAAAGGGCAGGCTCGGACCTTAAGCCAGGCGAGAAGGGCATGGACCACCTGCGGCAGCTTCTCCGGCAAGAAACCATAGGCCTGCACTTCTCCCGTCTGTTCGCAGCAGTCTGCAGTGATGTGTTCAGCAAGTCGAGAGATCATGCGATGCTCGGCAAACTTCATCATTCCTTCTCGAGTCTGCTGGCTGGATCTGGCTGGCTGCTCCAAGGGCGTTGCCTTGACGCCATCAGGCACCCGGCCGTCCACGCTGCAGCGGTCCAGTGGCAAGAGGACGTGGAGGTTCTGGAGCAGGGCCTTCTGCAAAGACAGGATAAATGCAGAAGAAGAGCGGCAAAGGAAGAGAGAGGAGCAAAGAGAAGAAAAAACAGCAGCAAATGGTAGGTTCAAAACAACACTGCGCGCAGCAAAGCATCGGTCAAGGGCTTGTGCTGAAAGCTCGGCAAGTCCTTGTGCTTGGATTTCTTGCCTTGGCGCCCATACGTGTCCCCCTCAGCTTCATGCTCTTCCCGCGTGCGGGCAGAGGGACCCACCGTCTTCCGCGTGTAGCCTCTGGCGGCCGCTGTGTCCGAAGGCTTGTTGAAGAAGCCTCTCTGGTCGGCCGGTATGTCTATGTTGTGGATGGCCTCATCGAGCGTGGCCAACGACATTTGGGGCGCAGCAGCGCGCAACTGGGCCCGGCTCACCACAACCTCGTGCCAGTCGCGCAAGTTCGCGGACCAGGTCTCGCGACGCATTTGGTCCCAGTACACCTGCGCGAGATGTCCGTGTAGATGCAGGCAACTTGCAACTTGCCCAGTTGCGTCACTCTCGCTGTTCCCGCACAGGAGCCGAACCCGCGGAAGTGCACTGTCCCGGACGTCGCCGGCCACGAGATCGGACACATCCGGACATGGACTGGCAGCCAAAACGTGCGCGTACACCTCTTGAGTCCCCACCTGCAGGAAGTTCACGTCATGCACGTGCACGGAGCACAAGAGCTTTACCTCCTTCGCCCCCTCAACGGCCGGCGTCAAGTGGAACAGCACGAGCTCGCTCTTCGCCAGCAGCCGCTGACACACTGTCGGCCCCCATTCATGCAGAGCTCGTTCTTCGTCTTGGCGCTGCCTGAGGTCAGCAAGCATAGTTGCATCGCGGCAGTGACAATTTAGGGCCCGCACTTCTTCCAGGGCTGCTGCTGCTGCTGCTGCTGCTGCTGCTGCTGCTGCTGCTGCTGCTGCTGCTGCTGCTGTATCCTAGATGTGATCCATTGTCGACAACAGGAACCCAGTACTCAGTAATGTGGACTACAGCTCTGAAGACTCGAGCCCCGGACCTCTGAGACTGCGCAGATGTTGCGGGCATGTCTCTACTGGCCGAGGATGCTGCGGGGGTCCTGACAAGAAGCGCAGCCACGCGCAAGCTGCGAAGAAGAGACACCGCCGCTAGCACGCATAACTCCATGCCCATGCCCGGACCTCTCCCTAGGCTGCGCCCTGGCCGTGGCTGTCGCGTGTGCGCGCGCAGAGGCTGCTGAGGGGGTCCTGACCAGAAGCCAAGGCTCTGCACAAGGGCTGCCGCCGCTGCGATGACTCCAAGCCCCGACCTGTCGCCAGTTCGCGTCGCAGCGGTGGCCGGTATGTCCCAGCTCGCAGAGGATGCTGCGGCATGCCTCAGAAGAACATGAGTCCTTACCGCAGCTCGCACAGCAGTCACGATTTGGGATCCGCGCGGCCTCCAGGGCGGCGGCTGCTGCTGCTGCTGCTGCTGCTGCTGCTGCTGCTGCTGCTGCTGCTGCTGCTGCTGCTGCTGCTGCTGCTGCTGCTGCTGCCGCTGCGTCTCTTTCCTGTCTGTGATCCGTTATGGGCTACAGAAAGTCAGAAATGTAGCCTGCAACTCTGAAGACGCGAGACCCCGACCTCTCAAACTGCGCGTACGTGGCAGGCAGATCTTTGCTCGTCGAGGATGCTGCAGGAGTCCTCGCAATGAGCGACGTCACGCGCAAGCTCTGGACAAGGGACAGCAGCGCTGTCATGACTCCACGCCTGGGCCTCTCCGTCGCCTCCGTCCCGGGCGTGGCTGTCGCAGCTGGCTGCGCCGAGGCAGCGGCGGGGGTCCTGACAAGAAGCCAAGTCGCGAGCAAGCTGCGCACAAGGGCAACCCGTGAGAGTCCATACCGCAGCTTGCACGCCGAGCTTTCGCAAGACGGCGTTCACTCGGCGCAAATAGCTGCCTGCGGCATTCCGCCGCCGTGCAAGAGCTGAGAACGGCACCCCGTCGGGAAGAGGGTCTGCGCCAAGTCCAGCATCAGCTGTTTGGAAATCCTACCGAGCGCCACGCGTGCACATGATCCCGATGCAAGCACACCTGAGAAGTAACAGGTCCTCGAAGCCCAGTAGAGGCTTTCTCCCTGCCAAGGCGGCGCGTATTGACCGAAGTACCTCTCCGTCCAGGTCCTGACAAGCGGCAGCAGCCATTCCCGCCACGTCGCGTGGGCGCTCTTCTCCAGCAAGGCCGTTGTGTGTGAGCAAAACACCACGAACACCAGGTCGGTCAAGCTTCCTTCACTCGAGCCAAAGTTGTCAGCTTTCGAGTCCCAGAGCACAAAATCGTTCTCGAAGAATTCGCCGAGCAAAGACAACGCAGAAGTCCACAACTGCGCATGCTGCGCGCGCAGCTCCTCCGTCATGGGCCGAGACCAAAACTGCAGCAGCATGTCCTGCATGGAGCCCCCCACGCGATCGCAGATCATGACGCCAGCCTCGATGTCTTCCTTCTCCCTGCGCTCGTGAGAGCCGGAGAGAAAGTTATCCGCGTCGCCCGCCATGTACAAGCCGCCGTAGTATCTGGGAAGGTGCCCTTGCAGCTCCAGCTTCCGTCTCGCTTTGGTTGCCCGCGTCAACTCCTGCAATGCAAGGGGTCATTGGTCTCCATCCAACCATGCTTGTTCATGCCCCTCTTCGGCACGACCTTCAGCACCAGTGGCCAGTTTTCCACAGCGAAGGCCACCTTGTAGGCCCCGCAGGCCAGACGGCTAACCTTTTCCTGAATGCGCAAGGGCTCAGAGTCCCCAGGCACGGTGAACTCCAGCTTTGCCACGCCGGTCGTCCACTTCATCAAGGGCATTTTGTTAACCCAGTCCTGCCTCTGCAGAGAGGCTGTCTTCAGGAGAGCCCCTTTGGGCAAGGACTTGGCCGACATTGTTCAGCGGCGCGCCAAACTTTAGCAAGACAGCGTCCACCTGGCGCAGGCCGCAGGAGCAACTCGAACGCAAATGGAGCCCGAGCTGCGGAGATGGCCATGCAAAGCCGCCCCATGCTCGCGACTGCGCTTCCCTAGACACGATCAACCAGAAGCAGAAGTCTGACGTGACATGCAACAAGCCACTTGACTTATCACTGCAGAAGCAAAGTGTTTCCAGCACACGCAGGCGACTAGGTCTCTCCGCGTCCTCAAGCAATTGCGACAGGGACGCACGGAGCTTTCGCAAGACAGCGTTCACCCAGCGACGACCCAGCGCAAGCTGCTACGTGCGGCGTCTTGCCGTGAAATAAGCTGCCACGCCTACTCAGTATGAGCGGCAGCATGGAACGCTCCTCCACGGCTACCACATCCAAGAACAGCAGGTCAGTCAAGCTTCCTTCACTCGAGCCAAAGTTGTCAGCTTTCGAGTCCCAGAGCACAAAGTCGTTGTCGAAGAATTCGCCGAGCAAAGACAACGCAGAAGTCCACAACTGCGCACGCCGCCCGCGCAACTCCTCTGTCATGGGCTGAGACCAAAACCGCAGCAGCGCCTCCTCCATAGAGCCCGCCGCGTGATCGACGCGGACTAGTCGTTGTCTAGTCCAACGCAAATGGAGCCCGAGCTGCGCATGTGGCTATACGCGAATCCGCTCCACGCTCGCTGCGCTTCCCTACACACACGCAACAAGAAGCAGAACTCTGACGTCACATGAAACATGAGCGACTTCGGAAATGCGTCAGACGCGGAGCCTCCTGACTCCGGCCAGCATCCTGGGAAGAGGACTGGGCAGCCCCGTGCAAGTCGACCTGAACCGGAGCAGGAGCAATGCGACGGGCTCTGTGATGCACTTGACTGGGTCGGAAGGTAGGGTCATTGGACCACGTAATCCAGAGCCCCATATTTCTCGAAGATGGAGCAATTCATGGCTGTTATTTTATTACGCTTGGAAACCATTCAAATTTTTGGAAGCCACTCAAACTCTCTCAGTCAGGCAGCCCCCAAGCAACACCTCCAACTCCAACCACACGGAATCCGTCAACTCTCCTCCTAACGATGGATACGGATTTTTTTTGGGTCCTGGACACCTCTACGCTGCATCTGCAAGCTCCGAGCCAGTCTTCTTCTTCAACCTGGTTTCTCTGTATGAGCCTGTCACTACACCGCTATTCCGTCTCCTGGCTAGCGGCGACATCCTGGGGAGAGGACCAGGAAGCCCCGTGCAAGTCGATCTGAACCTGAGCAGAAGCAATGCGACGGGCTCTGTGTTGTTGTTTCGAGCTGACTTGTCACTGCAGAAGCAAAGTCTTTCCATGTGCTGAACCAATTGCAACAGGGACCCACTGAGCTTTCGCAAGACAGCGTTCACCCAGCGACGACCGAGCGCAGGGGTTTAGCGTGTTTTTGCTTTAAAAGTAAGTGCCGCGCTAAGTCTGCGTCAGCGGCAGCAGCCAGCGTCGCCACTGTGCGGCGACATGCCACGATGTGCAATGCAGCCCACTTCATGCACCGCGACCTCGTACAGAGTGCTTGCGAAAGAAGCGCTTGAGCTCTGAGGGGAACTGGGCAGAGCCTGTCTTTTCTTTGGCCCAGTCGACAGCGTTCTTGCCGTGGAGGTGCAGCCGGGATCCACACCTTCACCCACGTAATGTTCCGTACTCCTTCTGCTTCTCTAAAGTTATCTTCCACAATGCGCTTCTTCGGGCGCGAGCGCTTCTTGCGACGCGTGGCTTTGCCCTCCTCGGCGAGGTGGCAGCGATAGTCCTGGAAGTGTTCGTAGGCTGTCACCCAGAAATCCTGCTCTTCCTCTTCCATAGCAGTGCAATCCCACGCATTCCAGGCCGACATGGCCGAGGATGCCTGGAGCTGAGCTGTCGTAAGACAGCGTCGACTCAGCGACGCTGCGGGGAAACGTCTGGCACAAGTCGCTAAAGCCAAAGCGTCGGTGAGGGGACGTGACTGGGTTCTGCTTCTGTGCGTCACAAAGCAAGACAAAACCATGCGCCAACAGCAGCACACACACACAAACAAACACAAGAAAGAATACCAAAGAGGAGGAATCTAAGTAAGGCCCGCGCGTGCTGATCGCCGTGGAGTTGAAAGCGACAGCAACAGGGTTTCCTTACAACCAGGCTCTGCAGAATCATTGCAAAACACTCACGCTGGACCTCTGTCCTGGGGCACACGCCATGAGCTGCCGCACAAGTTTTGCGCCCGTCCGCGGCAGAGACGTCCTTTTCTGGCAGGGCGAACTTTCGCAAGACGGCGTCCATTCGATCGCACGCAGTCAGAGCTCAGACCACGCCAGGCACAACGTCTACAAGCCGGCACGCTGCAAGAATTCTTCCATCGCCGGCGTCAGTTGCTGGGCTGCGCAGCCCAGCCACGGGCGTTCTAACCTGGATCGGCACTGCAAGTCGAAGTTTGGCAGCCTCTCACATCCTCGCCAATACATGACTGCCTCGGGGTATTCCTGGTTGGCAACCCTCTCGTAGTCCATGCCACGGATTGGATCGTGCTTGTCTTTTGTGTGCTTACAGCTTGCAGTTGTGAACACCGTTCTGTGTCGGCCCCGCGGTGTGTCTGTGGGAACGGGGGGCCTTTCTTTTGGTTGCTCCACTGGGCATCTGCCACGGACAACTCTGGCCCGGCGTCCTGCTTGGAAGCTTTGTCATCGGTAAAACGGCCAATCTTCCTTCCTCTGCCCTCTAGGTGGGCAGGTTGCCTGCTTCTATGTGCTACGACCGTGTGTGAACCACTTGGACTTGAGTTTTGACCATCTCTCGTCTGGATGGTGACACCCCCTTGTCGCACAACGGCGTCATACGAATTGGGAGAGACCAGCTATGCTGCTTCTGGGTGGACACTTCTACGCGGAGATCAGGTTTCCACATTCCTGGCAATATGCCATCGAGCACCTGTGGACAACCTGGCCTTCACGAGAGCCATTCTCGCCTGTGCTTGGGTTACTGCGGGGTTCTTTGCCTGCTTGGGTGTACATCTGCTTGCGTCAAAGCCACCCTGCCATACACATGAGGTTGTGTGGAAAACGGCCGACCTTGCTGCTAGCCGGCCAGAGCCAGACATCCAGTTTGGCGCCTCCCCAGTCAAACATCTTGTGCTTGACATGACCACCATGAGAAATTCACGAAGAAATCGAGCGCTTTCTTGCTGTAGTTGCATTTTCTGCAATGGTCTCCAACTGATTGAGTATTGGAAACATCACTGTCCCAATGCATGGAATGAAACGTCCAAGTGTTTGTGGTGATTTCTCATATGCATCGTAAATCTCGTTGAGCTTCTCCAAGTTCATAGCGTTCACGGTGGTCTGAAAGAAGTTGTCGTCAGACATGGTCGTTCAAAGCTTTTGAGGTCCTTGCAGAAGTGGTTGCCCTTGCTTTTCATCATCTTTGAAAAACTTTCGTCTTCAAGTTTATTCGCCATGGCGTTTTCAGAAGGGAGACGTCACCACTAAAAGGTTGCTGTAAGCAATAAATGCTGTTATCGTATAACATGTTCTTCAATGCTGTGCACGGAGCTCTCGCTCTAGCATCTTGTGTTTTTTTTTTCAGTTCTGCTCCTGAAGTTGTGTTTGAACAAAGCCGACCGCAATACAAACGCTTCAGCCTTCTTTGAGAAAGCCTTGGGTAGCATTCTTGTTCCTACCCTGCTTTGCAAAAGCTCCGCTTTCCAAAAGGGACTCACACCATGTAAATGATGTCGCCGTTCTTGAGCACATTGCCGACCAAGTTTTGGCGTGGGGAGGCGCCTCAAGTCATCTCTCTTTTCAAGGAAGAACTTGATGGATGCCTTCTGCTTCTCGTTGGTCATGTCGTACTTCTTGAATGCTTCCACCTTGAAGTCTTTCAAGGTACTGCTTGTGTTCATTGACATCGGCTTCTCACTTTTCCGCCTTCTCCTCCACGCCGGGAAGCTGGTTGAGGTAGTTAATCTTCATGGCGTTCTCGTAGAGCGCCTTCTCCAGCTCTTCCTTGGCCTTCTGCTTGTCGGAGAGATTGTCGAGAAGATTCTTTGAACTCGGTCTTCTTATACTTCCTGACGAAGTCCTTGTTGGCATCCTTGGTTGCATCCTCGTTGGCTTTCATCAGCCTTTCTTCAAGATAAATATCACAAAACCCATGGGTTTTTTGGTATTTTCAATGGTGTGAAACTCCGACACCGCCGGACTGCTGTACCGCCGAAAGACGCGGCTTCAAGAAGCAGCCGAAAATCCGACCCGCCAGACCGCGCAACGGGCCAGAAGAAATTTTCCGCATTTCCCGCACTTTTGGGCGTTCTAAAAGTCAGGCCGAGCTGTAGGACGCAAAGAAAGAGAAGGACTTGCCTCGATCACGAGCCAGAGACTACACTCGTCATCTTTGTCCAGTGGAGGTTAACCTGGGATGATAAACGGGATAAACAAAGGTTAATTCCTGTGCAAAGGTAAACCAAGTTACAGCCTGCCTTTTATCTTCAGCGCGCCAAGGTCATGCTGCACCTCTGACAGGAGGCTCCTCTTGGACTCGGGGCTCCCGTGGGTCTGGCACTTGGCCATGGCACTTGTCTCATGCCCTTGAGTTTTTTTTTGCATCGACTTGACGGACTTGTCCTTGCTCTAGAGGTCCGGGAACTGTTGAAAATGACTTTGGAGAATCCACTCTGCGCAGCTCCGGCTCAAGTTACGTTCGACTGCTGCTAGGCTCAGACGCCGTCTTGCGAAAGACCTGGCAAGAAGACGCAGCTTGGACAGCGGATGTTTTCCTTCGATGGTTTTTTCCGTGCGCTGGATCTGCCTCCTGACACTGCTGAGTCAGCGGACATGGCCGTGGTCCGGAAGAGGTACTATCTCACGGTCAAAACGTGTCATCCGGACAAGGTTGGCATAGCTGGGCTGGAGAAGACCAAGTTTCTGAACAGCGAGAATGGAAAGGTCTGCGCAATGGCGCACCGTCCAGGCCCAGCCCTCCGTGGGCACGCGGCAGCGCGAGCACGACGGGCCCTGACCCTCCTCCCTGGTCACAGCGCCCTCATCCTCCTTCGTGGTCACGTGGCACAGCAAAAGCGAGCGCAAGGCCCGATGAGGGAACTCGGGGGTCGAGCCAGCAGTCGGCGAGCTCGACGGACCAGTCGGGCAACGCAACGACTTGTCCCAGTTGTCCCCTTGCGCCTCATTGCAAGAACTGGGCACGAAGGCATGGTCAGCTAGGCGAGGCGCGGGCGCAGGAGTACAAGTTTTTGTACGCGGCCAGCGCTGGCTGTCTGCGGTGCATGCAGTACTATGGCAAGACGAAGCGGAAGACTTGGCCGAGCTAGCTTGGTAGCCGTATGAGAGGTTCTGGAAGAGTTGAAGCTGGGGAACAAGCTAGAAGCGAGGAGGCTGAGGGATACGCGGCAAGCTTGTTGCGAGGAATGCTGCGGAACATTGCGCTTGCGCGAACATTGTAAAGCTGCAAACACTGCGCCCGTAAACGGCAGAGGTGTCCCTCTGTCGCCGGCCGAATTTTCGCAAGACAGCGTCCATTCGGCCGCACGCAGTGACAGCCTAGACTGCGCGAGGCAGCTCGCCGTCCTCAGCGCAACTTCACACGCAAAAGCCTTGGGTCGCCGCACATCAGGGTTTACGTAACCACTCCAAGGAGTACTTCTTGCTCTTGGCATAGTACACTCTGCAGTCATCACCAACCTTGCCACCCTCAGCTGGCAACAAGCGAAAGTCCTGCACACGGACTTTGAACTTGTAACTGCTGCCGAGTGTGGAGAGGAGCGACTCCTTCAAATCCCCGACAGTGCTGGAGGTGTTCACGACTCGCCATGCAGTCCAAGTGGCAGATATCCAGATTTGCACCTTGCGCATAGTAGCCATATAAACCAGCGGCATGTACGTCGAGCAGGCATAGGCGTCGGCCTTGCAAAATATACTTCCATCGCTTAGCTGATACCTTACACCAGAATATACCTGCCCATCTTCAGCTGCGGCGGAGGTGTCCGTCTGTTGCATACCGAATTTTCGCAAGACAGCGTCCGTTCGGCCCTGACAAAATACCACGGGGAAGTCACTAGGGCCAATGCTTCGGCGAGGGGCCATGCTGGGGTTCCGCTTCGGTGCACCATCAAGCAGCAGCAGAGTGGAACTGAGGCTGCGCACCGAATTCCACTTCCTGGTCGCGGCATGCACCTGCGCTGGTCCAAGACAACACGAAAAAAAAACCACGCAACCACAAAAACAGGGAAAAAAGATGGAGTCTAAGTATAAGGGCCGTGCATGTTGCTCGCCGTGGAAGACCTGCAGGCAGTAAGCCAAAGACAAAATCATCCCGGCGACATGCCATTTGGGACATGAAAACGAAGAGTCCCAGTAAGGTCCCTGCCACGTTGGTCGCCGCTGCGTACCTGCATGCGGGAAAAACAAAAATTGCTTGGAAGTCTGTCCACAAATGCTCAATACTCGTCCCGGGGGCTCTTAGCTGCATTTTGACACGCGCGTGCGCCACGCCATCCATACAAAACACAGCCCGCCGCGCCGTCGAACTTTCGCAAGACAGCGTCCGCTCTGCGGCGTGCGGCGAAAACTTGTGTTCATCCGTCTAAGAAAAGAATCGTGGCCATGCAGTCCTGGCTCAGGCGCTCTGCCACTCAGTGGACAGCGTGAACATCAACGTGCCGTCCGCGGCCCTCAATTCGGCAGACAGCGGCATGTGGAGCCGAAACCAGTCGGGCGTCTGCGGATGCTTCTCCAAAAGCCCCATCTGCATCAGGGTCATGTAACCCGTCGCCGTGAAGGTGATAGCGTGTGCCCTGACGGTGTGAGGGTCGCTGTGAAGCGACACAGGTTCTCCTGCTGCCCACACAGAGCAGTCCGATTCCAAGCAGCGTGTAATGGCCTGACGCGTTTTAGGGTTTAGGGTTGAGGGTTGAGGGTTTAGGGTTTAGGGTTTAACGGTTAAGGGTTTAGGGTTTAGGGTTTAGGCTCGAGGGCTGGCGTTTCGGTCTCAACATGTCGGGACGCAACTACGCCACGGAACATTTCTAACTCTAGCCAAGGTGCCAGCTCAGCGGAGGGACGCAGTCCCCAACGGTGTCGCCATGTGCCCGCGACTTCCTCTCCGCGCAAAACACTGTCCGATTGCGCTGGTGTCAAAGCAACGTAGGCTCGCACTTCCGCGAGGGCTGTAATGGGCATGCCTCGGGCAGCTGAGCTTTCGCAAGACACCGTCGACTCAGTGACGCCGTGGCAAAATATCAGGCGCAAGTCACTAGAGCCAATGCTTCGGCGAGGGGCCATGCTCCGGTTCTGCTCCTGCGCGCCATGAAGCAAGAGCGGCATGGAACTGAGGCCGCGCACCGAGTTCCAGTGGCTGGTCGCCGCACGTACCTGCGCCGCTCCAAGAAGAGCAGCAAAAAACAAAAGCAAAAAGCAAAAAGCAAAAAAGCGCACAACCACACACAACAAAAGACAAAAGAGATGGAGTCTTGCTAAGGGCCCTGCACGCGGGTCCCCGTAAAGCACCTGCGCGCAGCAATACAAGCTTTACTTGCAAGCCTGTCCACACATGCGCCAGTCGTCCTGGGCGCTCCTAGCCGCATTTTCACACGCGCGTGCGTCGCGCCGTCGAATTAAACATAGGTGGTTGCGCGGTCGAACTTTCACAAGACAGCGTCGGTTCTGCGGCGCAGGCGAACTTTCGCAAGACCGCGTCTGTTCTGCGGCGAACGGCGAAGACTTCTGTACAGCCGTCTACAAAGGCAGCGCGGCCACTCAGCCGCCGTGTCTCCCGTGACCGTGTCCAACTGCCGGCCCTGCGGAGCCCAGGGGCCTCAAGAAGCTTCCGTAGGTGGCCTCTTGCCTGTCACGCGTCGCCGTTTCAGGCAACTACCACTCGCGGCTTCTCCGCGCATGTCGTCACCAAGGACGCCCCGGACATAGTCGTTCTGGTGCCAAGCTAACCTGGTGACGTAAGCTTGAGCATTACGCATGCTCTGAGCGGACATTGCTTCAAAGGTTCGCATTCTCTCAACGAGCGTGCCGTTGTGCTCGTGCAAGAATCCTTCAAAGCAATCTCGGTCAGGCAGACCAACGATGATCAGGTCCGACAATTTCGTTGGGCGGGACAACATGACGTACAGCGCCAAAGCGTAGTCGGCATCTTTCATCCAAGAGGGCTTGTTCAGAAAAGCCACCAGTCCACGATGAGCAGTGACTCCTTGTAGCCCGAAGTGCGTGAGAACTTCTCTCGGCGCCAAGGGCACCTGCCACAGGGTTGTCTGGTTTCGACACTCAAGAATAAACATGCTACTGAACCCTCGACGCTCCGTCTCACGAGCCTGCTTCCGCACGACATGGAGTTTTGGCTCGTTGCCAACTTGAACAGGGAAGCCATTGGTGTCGCAAACCGGACGCACGAAGAAGTGCCCTTTGGGAACAGCCGCAGGACCAGGCACTTGCAGTTCATAATACTCCTTGTCGTCCACCTCCACCAGCACGGCCAGTGGCTGGTAACGCAGCACGACGCAGGCTGCGCTGGCGTCCACTGCCGGCTCCTTCGGATGCAGCTCGATGCGTCGTACGGTGCAAGGCAGCTCCCTTGTGAGAAGAGCTTCAGGCAGATTGCACGAGATGCGGACTTTCATGCCGACGAACAAGGGGCACATGCCTATGAGGTACCCGGTTTTGGTCATGTTGACCACTTTCAGCGCAGCGCTTGCTTGCTCCGGCGAAAGGCTGCGACCTTTGGTGGCCTTGTCGATCGCTTGCACGAAGTAAAGCTGCTGCTGCGCCGCGCGAGCTTCCAAAATGGCCCGTATGTGCTGCAGGCGAGCAACTTGCTCCCAAGCCAAGCCACCCCAGTATGTCGACAGAAGACCATCCCTGCCGCCCAAGCTCTCGGTTCGCCACACTCGAGCTTGCAACTCCTGCCAGAGCTCATCTGGCAAGCGAGTGCCCTGCCTCATGTGGGTCAGAATGCGAACTAAGGACTGCCCCGATGCGCAGGTTGAAAACCGCCCCGTGCCCGTGAAATGGACCACAATGCGTGCAGAGTTCTTGAAGAGCAAGCGTCCGAGCTCCGAGGAGTTGCTCTCCTGCTGCCGGGGGTCGTCTTCATCTTCGTTCTGAAGCTCCACCGTGTCGATAGCGGAGGATGCTTCCTGCCACTCGCAGAGACTCTTCTGCGCTGCCGGCCGCAGTTGCAAGAAATCCCCAAGCTGCACGCCGATGGGCATGCGACCGAACCATTCCTGCAAGTAGGAGGAAACATCCAGCGCCAAGGCATCGCTGCGCTGCAAGGTAAAGCGATAGCCGGCTGCGTGGTACACGTCAGGCGGGGTCATGGAGAGCTCGTCGATCACCTGGCACGACGCAACACGACAGACATGATGTGCAGTGGAACAGTAACAGTCTTTTGCGACCGAGGCGCTGCGGCCATCGCCTTCGCGATGCGTCTCTCCAAGGCGTCTTCTTTGGCCTTCTGCGACCGGATGGACTTGCGGTCCAAACCGGCGCTGGGGTTGACGTTGGCCAGCTTGTGCAGCGTCCGCGCTTCTCGGCCAAGCAGTCTCACGGCAGCATGGGTGGGCGCGCCCGCCACGAACCTGTCTTGGCCAAAGAAACGCAAAAACAGCGGGCGCAACACTCGGGTGTAGGCCCAGGTCTTGCCGCTGCCGCCCGCGCCGAGCCACAGACAGTTCACGCGCTCGGTGACCTGGCCGTCGGCCTTGCAACTGCTTGCGTCTGTTCTCTTCGCCCACATCTCATCCACGATGTGCACGACAGGAGCCACGGCGCGGATCTGCTGTTCATTCAGCGTGTGCTCCTGAGCTGAGAAGCAGACACGCAACTCCAAAATGCTAGGCTGCACGAAAAATGCGCCTGTAGACTTGTGGAATCCTGCCTCGATGAGCTTCAAGGCATACTCGCGGGGCCGCAAATTTTGCGCATTCAGCGCAGCCAGAAAAGGATCCGCTGTTGCGTCCAGATCTGCTTCCTCGTCCTGGACGACATCGTTGCAGTCGATGTCTGACTCTTCCGCCTCACGCTCTTCGGCATCATCCGCTTCGCCTGCCACTCCCGACACTAAGAAAGCAAAAAAAACAAGCCCAAGAATACACACCTACCTGCCCAGCCTCCTGCGAGCTTCTCCAAATACCGATGCTGCTGCTCAAAAGCCGCCTGGGCGTCGCCGTGCCTCCAAGCCCTTCGCAGGCCAGCGCCATGGAAATTTTCGCCGGCACCTGTCACCTTGACGTCTGGCAAGCCGCCAAGATCCTCCACGACCCGCTTCAAGCAGTACAGCGCCTCCTTCGTCTTGTTCTCGCGTCCTGCCATTACGCTCTTCCACTCCTTGTCGCGAAACAAAACCTCTGCCAAAGCATCCATGGACACCAAGTGTGGGGCGCATTCCGCACGCTCGATGGCATCCTCGTGCTCGAGATCCTCTGGCACCAGGTCGCCCTCGATGTCCACGGGCCCAGCATCATCCTGTCATGATGCAGGCAGGAAGTCGGATTACAAAACTCTCCCCCCTCCCCCCCCTCCCCCACCCGCACCGGAAGAAAACCTTACAAACCGTGCTTCTCTTCTGTCCTCGCCTCTTCCCCATCCTCCTCGGCTTTGCTGACGTACGCAAAGCGTTCTGCTCTTCGCTGGCTGCTGCTGATCTGTCTCGCAGCATGGTGCAAAGCCAATCTGTCCAGCCATGTGTCTTGCACGTAAGACATGTGCTCGAGAGGAGTGAGTTGACTGTAGTGAAATCCACATGGAATGTCCAAAAACCAGCAAATTCGTTCGTGCACTCGTGGCAGGTCGTGAAATGCACTGCGGCGATCTCGAAAAAGCTTACCCCAACACCACATGAGGAAATACGAAAGATCTGCCGAAGACGACGCGCCCGCGTCTGCGACATTTCGCAAGACAGCGTCCTCCCGAGCCCCGGGCGCACCGTCTTCCGCGCGGGCTTCAGACATGACTGTCGGAAACCACTCGCGAAGGCCGACCACATCCCGAAGACATGGCAGCGCTGCTCCGGCCAGGAGCCGCTCCTGCGCCAAGGCTTTGCGCAGCTGCATGCAGGCTCGCCAGTGCCGCCAGATGGGAGAGAACCGGCATCGCGCGAAGCCCTGATCTTCTCGCAGCTCCAGGTCATGGCACTGGAAACACTTCCAGGAATCGGCACAATCTTCAAGACCAGAGCAACGAGAGAATGGGAAAGACAGTCCAAGCATGTGGCAGGCAAGCTTCTCCTTCTCGTTCTCTGGAGGCCAATGCAAATCCATGGGCACGACCACGTTGTCGTCGGCAACTCGAAGCTCCTGCAGCAACAACGAGCACCAAATTCCAACGGCACTGTCTAGAAGACGACAGGGCGTGTGCGACGAAACACACAAAAAACAACACATGACCTTATCAACCTGGCCTGGACAGAAGAGGAATATGGCCCGTAGTGCTCATCGAAGGGGAAAAAGCGCAGGAAGTCTACGCGGCCGGCCTTGTTGCGAGGCACACGCCGCACGAACCGGGAGTAGTTCACTAATGACATGCAAGCCAGAACAGCGCTGGGGCCACGATGCACATAATCATCTTTTTGATTGTACGAGACGACATGCGTGCGTCGGGCGTGCTCACCAGCAGGGGCAGCCGCATCAGCGTCTTCCACCTCAGCCACCTCCAGCAACGGAACCTCCTTTGCTTCTGGATTCTCCTCTGGCTCCAACGGAATAACGCGCAAGTGAGGCGCCAACTGGGCCAATTCTTCCAGCGCCACCTGGCGAGCCTTGAGGATGGCGTACGGGATGAAACGGAAAAACATGTTGTACCCGCTGTAGCTCACGAGTTGCTCCTGCTGAAACAACAGTTGATACGCCATCTCGCCATTTGACTTCGCGACACAGCGCTGCATGCCGAAAGCCAAACGGCGCAGTATACTCAACGCACGAGCTTGCGTGGCTTGAGACCGCGCAGCGGGCTGAGCTTCCGCATTCTCTGCGTCTTGCTCGCTGTCTTGACGTTGACGTTCGGTTTCTTCTTGCTCCAGGCGTTGTATTCCTGCAAACAGCTCGGGCAGCAGGGATCGTGAAATCTCAAACTTTTTGGCTGCGTACTCGCCGGTGTAGAATTGAACATCCTGGTGGCGGCGGGGGCTACTTCCATCACAAGGGCACCTACTCGCCAAACTAAAAAGCGGAAAAACAAACCAGGAAGAGGAACAAGTACGCAGAGCAAAACGACAACTCCCCGATAGGCGTGCTCTTGCTCTCCTGCATGTCTCGGAACATATCGACGATCAGCCTGAGTAGGCAGGCATCCAGATGCCTGTGCTTGGAGTCTGCGTGGACACGCGGGACATTCTGCTCTTCCTCCATCTCGGCTTGCGGCTGCTCGCCCTCGGCCATCAACTTCTCCAGATCTTCTCTGCAAAGACATCGTCCAAGATACTTTACATCCACATTGCATCTCATGCAAACCTGTGCTGTCGGATTCGACATGCCCTCGCAGGGATGATCTCTCTGGGGCTGAAAAGCGTGCGGCGCCTCGTTCTTCGCAGCTTCTTGCTGCGGCAACGTGTCATGCGCACGAGGAAGAGCAGCAAAGCGAGCGCGCGGCACCCGAGGCCAGCCCTTGCGACATCTTACGCGCGCCTTCTCCTCGCCCTTGTCATCCGTCTCGGTCACCAGCTCCAAATGAAAGCAACCGAAGCGACATCCGCGGTGGCCCTTCGACGACTTCCTTGGCTAGTCAGAAACAACACACAATGCAACACAGCAGGCTCCAGTGCAGCAAGTGTTTGCAAGGCGAACTGCATGTCATACCTGAGAACGCATGCGCGCGCATCTACATGCAACAGCTCAAGCGCAGACGCGCAGCTTCTTGAAACAGGACTTCGTGCACTTGTGGAAGTGATTTTGAATCACCAGGCGCCGATAATCTTTGCACAGCTGCCGCGACCATTCGGAGCCAGGCATTGCATCTTCACTGCGGCCGCGGCGAAGATACGCCGGTCGAAGGGAATTGTAGCAGCCTGTCAAACGCAAAGGGCCCGCATCTGCGCTCTGGTTGGCAGCAAGCTCGTGGCCGTCCAACTCCTTAGGCCCAGCCGGAACATCAGCGTACTGCTCTCCCGCGGACTCCCGCTGGCGTTCGCCAAGAGGAAGCGGCGAGGCTTCGACGGACAGCTGCGCCGCCAGCGCAAGCTGGCTGTCGTACCGAATCCGGCATGCAGCTTCCAAGACTTTTGCGCGCCACCGCTCCAGCTCGATGACCAGCTCGCCTCGCGCAGAGCTGGCCATCATGCATCGCAAACGGCTGGCCAGGTCGTGGCCCAGGAGAACGATCAAGATGTGCGGATGCATGGACCCGCGTCCTTGTGTCTCCAGAGGGCCGCAGAAAGCAGCGATGTCCCCAAAGCAGCCTGGGAAGGTCGATGCGGCGAAACCGTCCTCGTAGACCCCGGCCTGACCCGCCCTAAAGCTGGCTCGCTTGAAGGGCGGCAAACATCCCAAGACTTCTTCGAAAAATAGGGTCATCATGAGGTCAAAGAACCTCGCCTGAGACACGGGGTCGGCAGCTAGAATCCGACGCATGGCGGTCACGCACGGCAGAATAGGCTGCTCCAGATCCCAACCCAAAGAAACCTCGTAGTTCTCCACCTGCCCATCCACGCCCTGCGTGTGCAGCTGCAGAAGCAGGGCAGCGCGAGAATCTGCGAGGTTGGGCGTCATGAAGACGTGCGCGTTGCCGTAGTGCCAGCCAGCCGCATGGCCTCGAAGTCGAATTTGACTGCGATGTCCTTCTGTGCCGAGGACACTGGCGCTGGCCTGCAGCACGCCGCCTAACGCGCGCTTCAGCGACACATCCACATCCGGTGAGCGCAACAACTCACGTATGTCGGCCTTCTCGCCGTGCAACGCCATAGCCTTCAGCAGCTGCTCCGTGCTGACCGAGGCGATCATGGCGCAGTGCCGACTGAAGCCGCTCCGTTTGACGTATGCTTTCGATGTGCGCATGAGAGAAAGTCGGCGGTTGGTGTCGTACATGACAGGCAAGAGCTGTTCCTGGCACGCAACTGTCGCTATACAGATATAGCAAATTAAGACAGCGTCCAAAAGCGATTCAATATACTATCAAGGACAAAGTTCGACCTAACCAAATCTTAATACGACCGGGATGCGGACAGACTCCAACGAGGAAGAAGGGGCGTCTCGGCGCTATCTCCATACGCCAGCTCCTCACGAAGTAGCAAGTACCGAAAGACTTCGCCTGCCTCCATGCCAGTCTCGCGCTTGACGAAAGGCACGCCGTCTCCCCAGGGGAAAAGATCCGGGAATGCCATGGCCCAGGTAGCCGGCTGAAACATGTTCATGGGCTCGTCGCGAGAGGGCACCACAAGTTTCTGAGGTCGCACTTCGAACATTTGGCCCTGAGCCTGGCGCTCGTGCTCCACACTGTTAGCTAGCGACTGCACCCTTCGCACGCGGCTCAGCACGCGCTGCTCCTGAGCTCCCTCGCGGCCCAACAAGCCCCCGGCATCTGCCTGCTCAGGACCCAAGTCGTTTTGAGCCCGATTGCGAAGAACCGATTCAGCCTCGGTATAGTCTTGCCGCGGCTTGCGACGGCACAATTCTTCCACATCGCGGCAGACTCGAAGCCAGCGGTTGCCCTGGTCTGAGTCATCGTTGAGGCCAACGATACTAGACACGAGATGACCTGACTCCAGCGCAGCAGGTGGATTTCGCAAGACAGCGTCCTCCGAGCTGCTACCGGCTGGCGCGGCAGGCTGCTCCTCGCGCTCGTCTTCCTCAGCTTGCCCTTGCGCGTCAGCTGGCCCCTTTTGCAAGAGTTCACGGGCCAAGTAGTAGCTGTCAACGGCAGTCTCCAAAACGCAGCCTTCCAGCACGCTGTCCTGGAGTCTGCCCGGGTCCAGAGCAACCGAACGGTAGTAAGGCGAGGTCGTCCGAAGTTTCTCCACGGCTGCAACGTACTCGTCTCTGGGAGCTTGCAAGACATTGCTGGACTTCAGTTCCTGTTTCTTCTGGCCGACAAGAACGAACAAGATGTTCTCGGCCATGTCCTGGTCTTGGGGGGCAGAGTCGCCTGAATAGCTCCAGGGCCGGCCTGTGGAAGGAAAATCGTGTTGCCGATGTATCCCTTCTGCCTCTCATCGCGCGGTAGCGACAGCGGCTGCAAAACCGTCACCTGCATGCAGACCCGCACGAGAGGGAGTAACCGCTTTGTTCCAGGCGACAGGTTGCTCAGCTCGGGCAGAGAGCGTCCGATCCAGAGATCGTTAGCCAGCGCGTGCCTTGGAAGCATGAGAACGGAGCATTTCAAACTGCTGCGACACTCTCGGCAAACCGTACAAGGGTCCGAGGGTGATGCTGGCATGCGCCGTCGATGCAGCAACAGATACTGTCCCTCCATGTACGGGTGCTGGACAGCGGATGCCTGAAGTTCGGAAAGAGGTATCTGTGGCCAGCGCTCGGCGTACCGATCGATGCCCAGCAATCGGCACAGACGAGCCTGCTGACTCGGCAATACTGTCTCGGCACCGGAGGGCACCTCGATTGAAGACATGTCTGCGTCCGGTGGCTGAAACAGGACCATGGGGTACAGCTCGTTAACCCAGAAGCGACGGGCGCAAACCACACAACCCCCTTCCGCTCGGCCAGCGTGCATTCCAGGAGGGCAGCGCAGCTGTTCGTCGAAGTTGGCTGCGATTGTACGCTGGCGGCTCATCTCAGGCACCTGACTCGTTCAAGCACGACAAAGCGTCAGACACGTACACTTGACATGACAGGCAAAAGACACGTAGAAGGCTATTGCATGTGCCAAGGGGCCACAGGACCTCTGTGCGCTACCATTGCCAGGATTTTCTTGCGGTACTCCACGAAAGCTCGCTCTACATCCAGAGAACGCACGCAATGACTGCTCACAATGTGCTCCTTAAGGTCTGTGAGGTTCTGGCAGTTGAAGTCACACAAGCGGCAGCAGTACCTTTCAGAAAGTACTGAAGGGTCGTCCGAGAAAGAGCGCAGCAGGTGGCCGGACACAGCTTCATTCACGGCGGGCAAGGTCGGAGAGCAATCCAGCAGCGCAGCGACACGCTCCAGCTTCCGCGTCAGAGACTTCTGCGGGTCCTGCAGCAGCCTCAGCGCTCCCATGACGACTTGGTTCGCGTCTCCAACCAGATCCTCCAAGGGGACATAATCGCCCCCAGTGTAATATTTTTCCGCGCGCTTGGCCAAGACAGGGTTCTCCTCTACCGAAGGGATACGAGAACACCCTTCCACAACCTGCCAAGAGACGAGGTCGTCCCGCAAAGAGAGCACTGCGAGGTCTATACTTTCCTCGCGAGACCTTTCCTCCGACACTGCGTTGGGGCTGTGCAGCTCGCGCACGCCAAGGCCGGCCAGCGGGTGCAGGAGCTCCGTGGCCAAGAACCAAGCAAACTGCGACCAGTCCTCGGGCTTTCGCACGTGGGCGAACGTCTGGGACCAGCGGCATGGCTCGCCGGGCTGCGTCCGTCGCTCCCAACCGTAGCGACGCATCAGGGCGCGCAGCACGGTGGTGTCGCCCTGGTCGAACTTACGGGTCTGATACTTGTGCTGGATGACGCTCAGGACTGCCTCGCAAAACAAGCTAAGAAGCAACAGAGGGCGAGGCATCATGTCGCAGTTCTAAGACGCCCCCCCACCTGGCCTCCATAACATCCTTGCGGTCCTCGTACCCGTCCGTGCTCTGTACTTGCGGCTCCGCCTCCAGGTTGGCCAGCAACCAAAGACGACGAGCGACATCCACGGGGTCCGTTCGCTCAGAGCAGTCAGCTAAACGCCACCAACCTCGGCACGCTACACACATATTCACAGCACAAACGGCGGCAAAGCAAGAAAAGTGAGAAAAAGAGTAATTCTGACGCTCACCTGCTCGCTGATCTGCACGATCTTCAAGCACAGCGGCCAGAAGACATTGCTGCAAAGGCGCAGAAAGAGATGGCACTCTCACTCCTCTCAAGCTACAGCAGCTTCCCACGCAGTGCTCACTTCCGGGGCCAACGCAACATCTACCTCTGGCCAATGCGGCAGAGCCTGCAAAAGCAGCTCCGCAAGTAGCTGCTGCTCTGCAGCGGAAGAAAGATGCCTGTCGCAAAAGACTGTGGCAGTAATGTCCAGCGAGTAAGCAGCGGCAGGTCTGCGCAAGTTCACATCCTCGAAGATGTCAGGGGCAGCAAGGACCACCGCTGCAACAGTGTCTGCTCCAGCTTCGTGAGCTGCTCGGAGGGATCTCCAGACGTGGTATTTGATGTCCGCACTTGCGCTCGGAGCAGCGGCAGGACACAATGCCAGGACGATTCGCTCAGTCAAATTGCTCCTGCTCACACTCTGGAAGGCGACTCCCAACTCCGCCGCCAGTTGCTGTAAGCTGGGCCCGTCGCCTCGGAAGCGCCATTTACGAAGCCTGGCCCGAAGAGACCGAGCCGCGCTTTCGCCGAGCTCTGCTACCCAGCTCCTCAAGCCATCTGCGCTGACATCGTCCTCGACGACGTCGAGGCCAAAAAAAGCAAGCAAGATTAAAACGTCAGGTGGCGGGCAGTAAAGGGGGGTGAGAAGAGCCTGAAACTGCCCGAGTCAAGAGACACTGCGCAGGACAAAAGCGAAGCTTTCCCCATGACGCCTCCTGCTCGGATATGCACTGCAACAGAGCGTCTAGAAGCTCCTGTTTGTTTCGCATGCCGGTGCCAGAGCCCTGCTGCACACCCGCAGCCCCAGCCAGCGCCCGCAACTGCTTGACGGTCTTCTTCGCGAGCTCCCCGCGCAGCCAAGCCACGCCGTCAGCAGCAAAACCTTCTCGCAGGCGCTGCAGCTCTTGCTGCAGCGCAGCGCCAGCTTCATCCTGTTCAAAGGTCGACAAGAAAAGCCTGAAACTGCCCTAGTCAAGAGACACTGCGCATGCGCCGCTTGAACGTAAAGCCCAAAAAAAAGCAAGCTCCAAGCCAGAAACAACCTTGACCCCAACCTGCGTAGGAATGCAAACAATATGACACACAAACCTTAGAGAAGGAGGAAACCAAGAATACAAAGCACAAAAATGACGCTTTCCCCAAGACGCCTCCTGCTCGGAAATGCACTGCGAGAGAGCGTCGAGAAGCTCCTCTCTGTTCCGCATGCGCGCACCAGCGCGCAGGTGCACACCCGCAGCCCCAGCAAGCGCCCGCAACTGCTTCACGGTCTGCTTCGCTAACTCCTCGCGCAGCCAAGCCACGCCATGAGCGGCAAAACCTTCGCGCAGACCGTGCAGCTCTTGCTGCGGCGCAGCGCCAGCTTCATCCTGATCACAGGTCGAGAAGAAAAGCCTGAAACTGCCCTAGTCAAGAGACACTGCGCACGCGCCGCTTGAACTTAGAGCCCAAAAATAAGCAAGCTCCAAGCCACAAACAACATGACCCCAACCTGCGTAGGAATGCAAACCATGTGACGCACAAACCTTAGAGAAGAAGGAAACCAAGAATACAAAGCACGAAAATGACGCTTTCCCCAAGACGCCTCCTGCTCGGAGATGCACTGCGAGAGAGCATCAAGAAGCTCCTCTCTGTTTCGCGTGCTCGCGCCAGAGCCCTGTCGTGTGCCCGCAGCGCCAGCAAGCTCACGCAGCTGCGTGACCGTCTTTTTCGCAAGCTCCTGGCGCAGCCAACCTGCACCTTTAGCACGGAAACCGCGCCGCAGCGTCTGCATAGCATCCCCGCCGGTGTACGACATGCCTGGACCTACAAAAACCCGCACGGTCCAAGCTGGCGCCAAGGTTTCACTCAATAGCGCCTCTCGGGCCAAAGCTAGCACGCACGCATGTAGAGCAACGCATCATGAGGTAACAGACATACAGCACACGAACGCTAGCACCGACACACAGTGCGGGATGCCTTCTCCCCTTCATTGACGTCGGCGCGCCCCAGGACGTCCAAATCGGACATCGCCCAAACATGTTACATTTGAGAGCAACCGCTGATCACTTCCCACAGAGAGACGAGTCTGAGCGCAGGACTGGTTGCCTTCCCTCCAAATCGAGATCACTTTTTTCCCGCTCCACTGCATGGCTGATATTTGTCATGGTTTTGGAAACAGCGAATTCGGGGACCATGGTTTTCGCGATGGTTTTGGAAACAGCTAATTCGAGTACCATGGTTTTCGCGATGGTTTTGGACACAGCGAATTCGGGGACCATGGTGTTTGCGATGGTTTTGGAAACAGCAACTTCGGGAACCATGGTTTTCGCAATGGTTTTGGAAGCGAATTCGAACACACCGTCCCCAAGTTGTTTGCGAGGATTTCGAAGCTCCACAATTCCGCGCCCACGCTATTTGCGAGGATTTCGAAGCCCCACAGGATTTCGAAGCCCCAGAATTCCGCGCCCACGTTATTTGCCAGGATTTCGAAGCCCCACAGTTCCGCGCCCACGTTATTTGCGAGGGTTTCGAAGCCCCACAGTTCCGCGCCCACGTTATTTGCGAGGGTTTCGAAGCGCCCACGTTATTTGCGAGGGTTTCGAAGCCCCAGAATTCCGCGCCCACGTTATTTGCTAGGTTTTCAAGGCCCCAGAATTCCGCGCCCATGTTATTTGCGGTGTTTTCATGCGCCCAGATGTCCGTTACCGTGCTCTTTGTGGTGTTTTCATGCGCCCAGATGTCCGTTACCATGCTATTTGGTTTTGGAAACAGCAACTTCGGGGACCATGGTTTTCGCAATGGTTTTGGAAGCGAATTCGAACACACCGTCCCCAAGTTGTTTGCGAGGAGTTCGGAGCTCCACAATTCCGCGCCCACGTTATTTGCGAGGATTTCGAAGCCCCACAGTTCCGCGCCCACGTTATTTGCGAGGGTTTCGAAGCCCCAGAATTCCGCGCCCGCGTCATTTGCGAGGATTTCGAAGGCCCACAGTTCCGCGCCCACGTTATTTGCGAGGGTTTCGAAGCCCCAGAATTCCGCGCCCACGTTATTTGCTAGGTTTTCAAAGCCCCAGAATTCCGCGCCCACGTTATTTGCTAGGTTTTCAAAGCCCCAGAATTCCGCGCCCATGTTATTTGCGGTGTTTTCACGCGCCCAGATGTCCGTTACCATGCTCTTTGCGGTGTTTTCATGCGCCCAGATGTCCGTTACCATGCTATTTGCGGTGTTTTCAGACGCCCAGGGTGTCCGCGGCGTACTACGTCTGGAGCAAGCTCCGCGTGTCCGTGGCGTACTACATTTGTACTACAAAAGTCGACTTTCCAGCCACGGAAGCTCCGGGTGTCCGCGGCGTACTACGTTTGTACTACAAAAGTCGACTTTCCAGCCACGGAAGCTCCGGGCGTCCCCGGCGTACTACATTTGTACTACAAAAGTCGACTTTCCAGCCACAGAAGCTCCGGGCGTCCCCGGCGTACTACATTTGTACTACAAAAGTCGACTTTCCTGCCACGGAAGCTCCGGGTGTCCGGGGCGTACTACGTCTGTACTACAAAAGTCGACTTTGCAGCCACAGAAGCTCCGGGTGTCCGTGGCGTACTACATCTGTACTACAAAAGTCGACTTTCCAGCCACGGAAGCTCCGGGGGCGTCCGTGGCGTACTACATTTGTACTACAAAACTCGATTTTCCAGCCACGGAAGTCCCCGGCGTACTACGTCTGTACTACGCAAGTCGAAAAAGAAACGCAAAAACACTACGGTTTTAGCACCGCGACCACGCGAAAACCCGCAGAGGGGTT